GTCAGCGCCCACTTTTTTTAAGCTATTCGTTTTTACTGTAAAAATTACCACAGACATTTACGTTTCCAAAAGGTAAGATTTCTATTTATTGTAGAATAACAAGACTTGACAAAACTCATGATTTATTAGGTTTTTTTCAACTTTCTCTACATTAGTATTCCTATATAAGAGTTGTAATTTTTATATCTTCTCCTAATATATTAATAATTATTGTGATTATTTTTTTAAAACAATAATGGTTTTTGTTCAATATTATGTACTATCAATTTATATAGTATATATATATATATATATATATATATATGTTAACTCTTAGTTTGCAATACAATTTTTGTAACTACTTCCAATTATACACAAATAATTTTATAATAATAAATAAACAGATAAACTACAGTAGCGAGTATAGAGATAATAAATATATTTATTTTATCATAGTCTTTCTTATTGTGTTCAGTATTAAGTAACATGAATGTCAAACCTAGATTAATATTGATAATTATTATTATATGATGATATTAAATATCATCTAGTCCTTAAGAAACTAATTTTCTCCAAAGGAATAAATAATAAAATTGATTTATTTAATATAAATGCCGGTAGAGTTTAGCTAATATTTTTCGATTTTGGCATTCAAGAACACGTGTGTGAATAGTTGGTTATTGTTGTCATTTATAATCACTTAAATTTAAGTGTACTTAGCAAAATTGTTTGAACATGAAGTGTAGTATGTTTAAGGTAAACAACCTATGTATTTTGAAGCAGTAAATCGACGAAAACGTTTTCTAAAGTAACGCACTTTTTTCATTAGTAGAATTAAAAAAACTAAACGTTCTCTTTAAATCTTGTTGTAAATATTGTTACATTTTACATAAATTCCTAAATATAACCTTTTTTGAAAATTATTTTTTATATTAATATATTCAAAAAAGAATAGCTGCGGAATCCATTTATCAGTTACTTCATCAAAGTAGATCAAAATAAATTTTGTGTCGAGAATTTGTTTATTTTACATGGTAATTTATCATTAGGCACATACAATTCTACTGTAAAGTTCAATCCAATGTTAGTTTGTTTTTTTACAATGTGTGTACTCAGTTCATAATAATTCCGTTCGATGTCATATTTAAAATTAATTATTCATAATTTTAGTCGTTGGACAAAGCTTGCAATGTTTGCAATGGAAAATTGTTTTATCATTTTTAATTAACATTGATTATTTTTTTTTTATGATTGGTACATTAAATATCGTTGAGATAAAAATATTTTTTCTGATTAAATAAATAAAATTTCGAGAACGGTCAATTTTTAAACTTATCATAAATAATTATGGAAAATTTTTTGATGTAGCATTTATGTTAACATATCTTAATATTTCATGAAAAGAATACTGAATGGAACTATTTCAATGTTCTGCATTATTTACCTATAGAATTACCTAACCCGTTTTTCTAATGTAAGTTGGCTGTTGAAAATCCTGTTGTTCATAAATAACTTGACATTTCTATGAAAAATATACGATTATTAGGTGTATTTACGTATAGGAACTGTAGGCACGTACCTAATACGTCAAATTTTAAGAGGCGGCTTTTTTTTATTGATATAATAATTATGATTTGGAAATACTCTTTTAATAGCTGTGCAAAAAAAAAAGCTAGGGGATGGCTTCTTACAATCTCCTAAAAGGAAGGAATTTTTTTGGTGCTTAAATGCAGAAAATACTTAAATACGCCCTTGTCATATTTGGAGAGTTTACAATTACTAAATTAATTTTTATAAACATACTGTTTAATTTTTTCAGTTATAAGTTAACTAATTTTACTTGAAAATAAATCATATTTGTGTATTTTTTAAATATTAATCATTTTGAAGGAAATAAATTATTATATGACTAAGCGAAAGTCAAATCGCTTTATAGTAGTAGTTCTTGAACCGTTGCAACTTAATTAGAGAGCAATATGTATAACGATGCCTTTTCTTAATTAATATGAACGCCGCACTTGGATATAGCAAAGCATGAAATTTACATTTCCGTAGAAATGGGCCAGTTCCGTTCAAGTTTAGAAATTTCAATTTGTTTAGTCAATTTTCCCTTAATATTATACTAAAGTTGTATTTATTGGTTATTTTATTTTCTAACTCGATAATACCGAAACGTAATTTTCAAGATAAATTCGTTAATAAACAATTTATTGCTTAAGAGATTTACATTTTTAGATTGTTATTGTCTTAAAATTTCCTTTTATAGAGATTGTAATTGAATATTAAAATGTTAACTTTAACAGATAATTAATTTATATAATTGATATCTTGACGAGAAAAGAAAGTATGATTTTTTGCTTTTAGTTTTTTATTGTTCTATTTGATTTTGACTTATTATTATAAATCGATCAATAGCTTTTATCATATGTGCTATTGACCATACGGCGTTTTGAATAGGTAATTCAACTACACCTATGTCAACGTCACTATAGGAAAAATAGGTATATAGATTGTAAATCACAATAGGAGCTGAAAAAAAAATGTTATTTTTAAGCAAAAAATTGGTTTAATCATTTAAACATGATATTTCTTAATGATTTTTTCATACATTTTAAACAAGTTTTCAATTTGATTTATATAATAATAAAAAATGATAATATAAAATTTGGAAGCTGACTCATTAACATCATACACAATAGTGTGGTGATACTAAATAATATATATGATTCTTAATAACATTTTACCAAATTTGTTAATTATGTTGCTCATTAAGTTGATAAGATAATTTAATTTAAGTTATACTCATTTAGTATTTTATTAAGTTTTTAATTTTGTTTAATACTTTTTTTGTTAAATTTTAGAGTAATGCATTTTTTTATTTATACGAAATTCTGATCTAAGTCAAAATAAAATAAAATTACTTATTTTGACTTAAACAGTTTTTTTTTCAAGCACAATCAAAATGGTTTTTTATATGCTATTTAAAACTATTTAAAAATCACACCTTGTGCGATTGATTTAAATATTTAAGACATCTTTTAATTACGGAGTTTAAAACAAAATATTTTGAACATCTCAACTCTGCTTAGAATTAAATACATTGAACTATTCGGTTGTCGATAACAATTACTTTAACTTTTCTAAAATAAATACATTTTTGTTCGTTACATTTACTGTTTTATTTTTTGCAGAATTTAAGATAACGAGTAAATTGTTATTACTCCGTTGAAATATGACTGATAAAACCTTTGTATAGTTGCACAAATAATAATAGTATTTATTTTCCCCGATTCACATTTTATTTTTACTTAATACTGTTTTGAAGTTGAAAAATGTCTCATTTTCAATTATTGTTGTTTGATCTATTAAACAAATTATTATTTTAAAAGTTGTTTGAAAAAAAGGTACAACTTTTGTTGTTAGTTTTTTATACTCTAATCTTCATTTTTTTCCCCTCGAGCTAAACATAAATTATTCTAAATAATTTCCAAAGCCGACGAAAGTGATCCGTGAACTTAAACGTTTTGAAGATTTTTTCATTAATAGTTAGACCGTATGTAATTACAACAAAAAATGTTCTATGTATGCTGAACATTTCATTTTACATAGTTGCAGTATACATGTTTTTTGTGAAGCTTTAACGCAAATGCCAGTGGTTGTTAACAACTATAAATTTCATTGCTTCACGAAGAAGAGCACAGACATGAAACTCGAGGGTAAAGTAAAAATACACAAAGTCACGGTTAGTCAATTCTAATAACAGTAATAATAAATGTGAGAGGGGAACTTTTCCACCCTTTGGAAGGATATTGGTGTTCTCTTGAAACTAAGTTTGGAAATCAATAGTGTTATTTTTTATATATTTTTTCAAAATATAATAGTAAAATACATAATTGTTTTGAACACTTGCGTAGATAAATTTCAAATGTATCAACGACTATTTTAAAAAAAAAATGAGCATAGATGTATACTCATGCTTACCAAAAATATAATAAAAAACACTCGACTAACAATAAAAGTTTTTCGCCGGGATAAAGGAACTGTGATTGCAGTTTCAAAGGGACGCAAGAATTTTGCGGTATAATATATGGAAATATGTCGTTACATCGGTATTTGGGTGATTTCATTTCTTTTTAGTGTATACAAGTCTTCATAACTGATATAGTAAAAAGCGAAGGGTGACCAAAATCTCAGTTTTCTATTTTTCTGTTTTATACAACAATTGTTACAGGAAGCCAAGTCCATTAATTTCATACTTTTTGGGAAGGTGAATAACGTGTTTTACTTGAAGCGTTTCTTTACCCTAAAAGTTTTTTTAAGCTTATTTAACGACAAAATGCCTAAGTGAAAATCCAACCCCAATGAATAAAAATCAAATTACACGGTAACTGCTTTTTTTAAATAAAGATCGTAAATATTATCCAAAGTTTTTTTTTAATTTTTTTGATGTCTAGAAAAATAATTATCAGTAAAGCAAAATTAAATTGTAACGTGTATCAGCGATGACACTTGGCTACTTATTCCATTTTTCTATTTCTCAAAATATCTCATTATTTTCCTATCATTATTTAATCAGCCAAATGTAATGAGAAAAAAAAAATTAAAATCAACCAGGTGCAGTTAATCTCATTCGCCAGAGAAATTTATTACTAAACAAAAAGTTTCTTAAGCGGATAAAAACCACATAAAATAATCGGTAGTCAGGATAACAATTTGTGTATGAACAATAATTTTGCAACCCTTTTACAACTTTAACAAATAATGTAGACAGTTATAATTTATATAAATTATAGTTTAGTGAAAAATTTGAGTTTAATAAGTTATTAGAGTAACTTTGACTATTATTATTACATAATTTTTTAACCCATAAAATAAAATAAATACAATTTTTGCAATTTAATCAGAATTGATTTAAGATTAATTTTATAATAATTTAACTTCTTAAATAATATTATTTTGGTGTTTTATTCAATAAAGTCTTTATAATTTTATGTTCTAATAAAAGTTTTTTATATTTTCAGGAGCGGCTTCTGCATCTAAAATGTATACTGATGCTATTATAAGATTAGCCAAGCAATCTCAACAAGGTACATGGGGTGGATCAGCTGATATTGGTAAGAGCTAATTATATTTTTAGTATTTAAAATCTTCAAAATAAAATTGCTTTCAACTATTTAGGAAAGTATGAAGTTAGGTTATACTTATGAATTTCCCATATTTTAAAATGTTAATTCAATTTTATAATAAAGAATACATAAAAAACTTCTTTTGTTCACATAAAAAAATATATATATATATAATGAATTGTTTTATTGCCGAAAACACTTGGTAATTTATATCCTTGTACAAGTTATAAATTCAGACTAATTAATTTTCAATTTATGTTACTCGATACAACAATTCTTATTAATCAATTTTGGTAGGTAAACAAATATTTGTATCCCAGTAATTTCAATTTAAAATTATTATTTAATTTTATAATATTAAAATTGTCTTCATTTTTTTTTTTGTTAAAATGCAATCCATTAACAGCAAAAATGGTGAGAGGTTAATTCCTTTGCCGAGGGCGTGTATAGTCTGAATTATTGCAATGCAAATTCAAGAAAAAAATATTTTATTTCCTCCCTCTAATCCTTGTTTCCTCGTGTCAAATTAACAATCAGCCTGTGACGGATGTGCAAATATTGAATGTTTTATTTTGTTTACCTTAGGCGTTGTAGAAAATAAAATAAATACGGATATTTAAAACGGTCATATTATAAATCCATTTATTGTGTCAATTATAGTTTCTTGTGTACCTATCGACCAACAATTCATACTAGTAATAAGACATTTGGTAATAATGTGTGATTTGTGACATGCAGCATCGTGTATTTGTTTTATATACCAACATTTATTTATGATAGCAAACAATACGTGTATTTCTCTGTTTCGATTTATTTCCGCAAGTTTGTATGTACATGTCCGTTTAGCAGATATTTATTGCGTCCAATGAAACACTCAACAAAAGACTAAATTATTTGAATTATTATTAAGGAGACTTCCTGTTATTTAGCCAAAGAAACACAATTGTTCATATCATGAAGTAGGTTCGACAAATTTATCAAGTCAAAAATAAAAACTACTTTATTGTCTATACGCTTATTAAATTTATGAAACTAAAACAATTTATTTCAAACATAAATTCAAAATAAAATAAAGATACAGTAATGTTGCAGGCTAAAATAAATAACATTTATGATAATATAAAACTGTATATGCACCATAAATAAAACAAACAGAAAATACTAGAATCAAAAGCAAGATAACAAATAAAAAAATTACCTTCTACCATCGACGAAAAGATATTAGAAAAAATGGTTGTGGTTGTCTTAATGTAAGTAAATTACTTACATGATATTTTGAAATGTATATCGTTACATAAACAAAAATTATTGAATTTTTTCATTCATATAAGACAATTTTGAATAGTCAAAATGTATTGTTTATGAATGCTCGTATAAAGCATTATTACCACGAAAATTCAGTAAAGTCTTTAACTTAATTATACGTGTTAATTTACAAATAAAGAAAGATATGCTTAATAGTAAGGACTTTCACATCAAGCATAATGAATAATAGATTTAAATAGATATAATCAATAGCGTATCATTCTTAAATAACCTTATGTGTATGATTATTAATATTGACTTACTTGTCAAACAAATTTTTAATGATACTACATAATTCTATCTTAATATCTACTGAGGTTAATTTAATAATTTATCCTTCTTATGAATTAGCGCAATAATGCTTTGTTTTTGTGTAACATATTATAGTGATATAATGAGAATTAATTACTTACTACTATTATTATTTAAAATAAAAATACGTTTAAAATATTTTTAATTTTAAATATATTCTACTGATTTAAATGTTAACATTTAAGCTATTGGCGAAATTACTTTAAAAATCTTAAACTGATTTTCTTAGAGTATTTTTGTTCACAATAATTATTATGTGTTATTTTTATTTGATATTTGGTCTGTCATTGTTTCAACGTATAACTTTAAGATGATATGTTCATCGATCGAACCTGTAATAACTATATAGTTCTAATGGATATTGTTTAGTTTGAAACACTTACATGAATGCCAATGTTTAGATGATTGTTAATGAATTACATAAAATTGTTATGTGTGCGACATAAAAAGAGTTTTGGCTTATTATCGTATACAATATTTCTTTTTAATATAATATTACATTTTATTATTTTGTTTTTGCAACAATAGCTGAATGAAATATTATTTTTACAATATTATTTGTCAGTTATCTTCATTGTCCAAAATAATTATAGTTCATATTGTTATGTAATTAGTATAACCGATTTCAAAAATAGTACGAGGTGTTCGTTTTTCATTGTAAATATTTACAATTTTACAAAAGCTTAACAAATAATTGAGTTTCAATAAATATAAAATATTTAGTCTAGGGATTTATATTTAAATCGTGAAAATCATGAACAGTATTAAAATTACAATTTACTTTTACTCGAACTCTTCGGAGACTATAAAGAAAAGTACTCAACAGTCATAAAGATTCACTCTTCTATGAACCCTGGGGACCATCTTTTATCGCCACTAGTGTAGACGAATCAACAACTCACATCCAGTTGGTTCAACTTTTAATAAATTTTTAACCTTAAAATTCCTCATCGCAAGTTCATTAGTTGTGATTGATTTCAATAAAAACCGTTTCAATTCGATTTATTAAAACTATTAAAAAAACGAAAATCGAGGGTCAAAGACAATTTGGTTTACTTATATTTTTTCAGTCACCACATAGATTTGAATTAAACAACTCACAAGAGACACAAAGTAGTACATATGCATACATCCGCAATTTATATTTTATTATTGGTGAAGGCAGAATGAATATAAAATCAACCATGAACATTTATGAGATATTTTTGTAATAAAATATTTTATTGCTCTTTAAGCTTTGCTAAGAGAGAATTATAAACGGATGCATTTACATTTTCGTAGTATTTTCATAAGTTTGTAGAGCTTCAAATTTGTTCAACTGACAATATGTATAACTCATATGACGAAAATATAACTTTCAGTTACTTAAAGAAACATTAACTAAAGAATATCTATTATATGGATATATTAACAGTATTATCGAGAGTGATATTGTGTTTATATGAAATTAATAATATTGATTGTTTTGAGAACATTACCATCTAAACAACAAATCAAATTTACTCAGGTGAAACGTAAATAAACTTAGTTTTTCTGTTGGAATTCATGGCAAAACCGTTACGTTATGTTATTTTAGATTATACACATTATAAATACACATATCACGTTTATCGACACAGTGAATTGAAAAAACAACATCCATAATTTGGTCGATTGTATTGTATCGTCGAGGGTGTTCTACCGATAAAAAGCCCTCCATTCTCAACGCCAAACCGCTTGAAATTTATTATGGCGCCATCATATATAGTATGTACATATACTGTAACAGTGTTTTCAAATAATGAGAGAGTACAGACAGCTACAGTCAAAGGCCGTAAAAGCCTGAAAACCCGAAGATAAGCCAGTTTTCTAGGGGTTCAGTTAGGCTTATAACCGTTCTCCCTTCTTCTTTCACATACACGCGAGTCGAAAGAAAAACTCCACATTATATACGTTTATCCACCAGGGGAATTAAACGCGCGGGTGTCAAGGGGAAGGCCCACAAACGGTGGTTGACCCGAACTGCACATGAAGACTTAGAAAATACTTAAGGGATTTCCGCGTTCAGGTTTCTTTGCTATAAAATGTACGCTGTATAGTGTAGAGGTATTATTCACATGTCTATAATTAGGGTTAATGTATGAAATACCTCTGAGTAATTCGATATTGAATAACGTTCTCATACCATACACCAAACGAGTTTAATTGTACAATTATACTTATAAGGCCTGACGGAAAATGCAAATAATATCAGTAATCCAATTGAATGTGCTTGCAATTACACTTATATGGAACTAAAAAAAAATGCTATTATAAAAAAAATTATTATTTATAAATTTTAATACTAAAAATAATTTCTAAAGTATATTACAAATTTTAGCTAATAATATACAGTGATTTTAACCAGACACTGTAACTATACTTTTTTAAAGGTTCGCGGTTGGACTCTTTTCATAATTATAATACAAGTTTACGGTTCTTGAAAATAAAAAATCTGCTCCTAATTGATAAAAATTTTTTATAAATTTTATCGTATGCCAGAGCCGTTTTTAGGATTTTATACTAAGAGGATATACATGAGAAATTTCTATACTATCCCTTCCAAAATTCCACGATATAGTTATTTAAAATACATTTTTTTTTTTACTAGATAAGAATAGTAAAAAATTCAATGATACAATGTGTCATTTACGAACTATTAATAATCTTTATATGCTCAGGTTCGGTTCAAGGCTTATGTTTTTGAGAGTAAAAATTCCTATTCTGGTTCTAAAAATTTTTAGATTCTGTTCTAGTCTCTAATTTTAACTGAGGAGAGATATGTAAACATCGTTTGATTACCTAAAACAATATTTTAGCGTAAATGTAATTACACATTTTGAATAATGACACCAAATTCAATATGATTAAACTTTTTTTCAGTTAATTATCTTTGATGAGTTAGGTGATAACGCATGATACACATCGCGAGTAGATTTTTGCTAACATTAATAAACCCTTTATTGTGATATGAAATATGAACAGTTCTGCTATCTTTTAAATAGTAATTATGTGAATCGATAAGAATAAATACTGTTGTTATCACATTGTTCGTTGTCGGTTTCAAGCGCTGAATAAGTCATTTTCCGTTTTATAGCTTTACATGGAGAATAGAACATTAAACTGATATATTACCTTTGCGGTGCAACAGAAGAAGCACCAGCTCACTGCAACATTGACAATAAAAATCGTTATTCGGCTGAAATGCCTCCGCAATCAGCGGACAGTAAAAGATCTTATCTATTAGTATAAAATTTTTGCGGTGCTCGTACACATTTTCGTTTAACCATAATCAATTATTCAAAACAACGCAGAGGTGATTAAAAAAAAAAACCTGTCAGTTTAATTTTTAT